TGGTATTTAAAGGCAACTTTAAGATCTTCCTGTCACAACCATGTTCCCTGTAGGCAAGGAAGGAACCCAATGCTCTTCTCCAAGTGCCAGGCCCGCGTCCTTCCCGCCCACCTCAGCCGCGGGACTTGCCAGTTCCGTGTTCTCGCGCAGAAGGTGGCTCTCATAGTCGGCGCCCTCGAAGTGGATCGTCCAGGTGCCCGGGGAGCGAGCGTGAGGGACCAGCCTGCAGAAGCCTGGGGCAAGGGAAGCAAATGGCAGGACGGAAAGGCACCCTCAGTGCCACTAGTGCCCACATCTGTTTTCTGTCTACACCTTCGCTCGTGCACTGCGGGAGGGAGGCGAGCTGCGGGAGGTGCTGCATGCACAGCAGTCCGGGACTCCAGGCGGACAGGGGACGGGAGAGCCAGAGACCAGCCAGATGTGAAGTGTGGGGGCAGGAGGGATGGGAGAACCGGGCAAGAAGCCCAGCCTGGGCTGCTGCCACCATCACACCTGTGTCTGCCGTGTGGGAACGGGTGAGGGTGTGGTCCCGACGCGAGGCGTGGTGCAGCAGGGAGGGACACGGGACCACCTCCAACACACCCGGTGCCAGCCCAGCTCAGGGTCCTTCTGCAGGCGCCACTTGGCACTCCTACTGCCCGACTGTCTCTGAGGAGCACCGGGGCTTGGGCCTCTTCCTCCCTCCACAGGCCACACGCCAGCCCCCGCACTCCTGGAGGGCCACAGCCACACTCACTGGCATTACCAGAGGCAGCCTTGGCCAACGTTTTAAACTGTCAAGATCTCTGAGGACGTAAAACTCAGTGGTGAAAGCAGCAGTCACTGAAGTCAAACCCTACACTCACCGAACGTAAGCTCCTGTGGACACAGACCCGACTCTCCTATTCCTTTTGCTTGGACCCTGCAGTTCGGTCTGCTTTGTACTCGCCTGAGCTCCACGCTACAGAAGAGCAGCAGCCAGGGGCCGAGCCTATCTAAGGAACAGCTCCCACCTCCGGTATCACCGAGCCCCTGCACCCACCCATGTAGGAGAACACGTGGAAGACGCAGTGACACGGGGAAGCTGAGCTGCACTGAGACAGCGGAGCCAGGGCAGCCACCGGCACCTAGAGACCGGGGGCCCAGTTCCCAGGGCTCCTCGCTACAGTCCCACGAGGTGGGCACTGTCCCCACACCCACTCTACAAGAGAAACTGGAGGAGAAGGGCTAGGACCAGGACTCGGGCGTCCGTTCTGAAGCCTGTGCTGTTCCGCTGGCACTGCTGTCACACCTCAGCTCCGAGGCCATGTCCATAACCCACCGTCCACACCGGGAACAGAAGGAAAGGCCCTTGTGCCGCCCAGCGAGCAGCCAGTGGTCACAGGAGGGGTGCAGACCCCCCACGGAACTGTGTCTGCACATCAGTGACCCCGTGTCACTGGGAAACACTTCCCTCCGAGTCCCTGGGGCAGTGCCTTCGTCCGAAGCGCCACACGAGTGGACTGCACATAGAACAGACCCGAGCTGGGTCAGGTTTCGGGCCCGGCAGCAACACCTACCCCGCTGGCACAAGGGGTCCAGGAACTCCTGCAGGCCGCTGGGAAGGTTCCTGACGACGTCGCAGGAGTAGCCGTCCTCGGGCAGCAGGAAGGGCAGCTGCAGGTCGGGGTCCTCCTCCAGCTGCACCTCCCGCCCATCGCTGCGCGCCAGCTCGTCGGCCGTGTTCTCGGCCACGGCCACGACGTTCTCGATCAGGTCCTGGGCAGAGAAATGCAAATTCGAATGAGATGCTACGTGACTGGGGCTGCTGAGCAGCAATTACCCTCGCGTCTGTTTAGGCCAGGTGGGGACAACGTGACGACAGGTTCAGAATCAGCCTGTGAGGCAGCAGGACACCAGCAAAGCACACACTTAAGTGAACCCAGATACTAATGACTAATCTCAAGTAACGTGCAGCTTAAACGAGAAGAAACTATTCAACCACAAGAAGATGGGCTTTGCCTCTTTTCGAAGTCATCATCTTTCCCTGCACAATTCCTCAGCGCCCGGTGTGAACAGCCCTGTTTCTGTAGAACGCTGAACGACACGGGCAAGAGCTCACTCAAAGTGAAATGAAAAACTCAAGATAAAACACCCATGTCCAGGCTACCGACGTTCTTTCTGAATTACGGGTGTAAGTGATGTTGTTTGACAAGTTTCATGGACACAGGTTGTGCACATGGGAAAGGCCACAGCACAGGAAGTGAGCACACGGCTCAACGCCGCAGCCCTCGTGCCCCTCCAGGCACTGCGACCCAGGCTTCCAACTCCAGAGCCTCCTCTGTTCTCCAGTCGGATGGTCGGAGCACAGCTTGTACCTGTATCTGGCTCCTGTACAAATTACGTCGTGGCATCCATCCAGGCTGCCTGGGCTCTAGCTCCGTGGTCAGCAACCTGCGGCTCGTGAGCCACATGGGGCTCTTTGGCCCCTTGAGTGTGGCTCTTCCTAAGCCTTAGGAGTACCCTAATTAAGTTAATAACAATGCACCTACCTGTATAGTTTAAGTTTAAAAAATTTTGCTCTCAAAAGAAATTTCAATCGTTTACTGTTGACATTTGGCCCTGTTGACTAATGAGTTTGCCGACCACTGCTCTCACTTTCTCACCCGGAGCTGTACTCCCTTAAGGGTACCGATGCACATGGCGTCGCTTGCAGGTAGCTGGGAAGCTGTCTGGGGCTGTTCTTGAGGCCGCCTTCTGCAGGCATGAACTCAGCACTGCAGGTCGGGAGATGGGTGTCTCATGCAATGACCTCACCTCTAATTCTCAGGTACCTGCAGAGGTCCCACGTTATACACAGCCAGCTTGGCAGTTGAGAAGTGGGTGTCAGCAGTCAGGTGCTCTGCATCCCCCCCCTGCTGGTCTCCCAATGATTTACCAAGTACTGGACCGGGTTAAAACCCTTTCTACTTTAAATGCTTATGTAGTTTCTACTTCTACTGAACTCGAACTCATACGTCAACAGCAAACATGGTCGTGTAGACTGGTCAAGTAAATAAGCTTGTTTTTAAAGTGAAAGGAAACCGTTAAATGAGTTTTCCTTTGCTTCCACCCGCCCCAGACGCCGGCGCTGCCCTTACCGTGGGGATGAAGGGCTCGTCAGGTGCGCAGTGGTAATTCTGCAGCAAGGCTTGCAGCTGCAGCGAGTTCAACTTGAAGCAGGTGCTGCTTATGTTGGGAATGTCTTCGGGCGCGTACTTATCCATCGTCAGCAAGGTGGTGGCCTGTTGGAGAGAATCGGACGCTGTGACGTGGGCGGTGCAGTCCCTGCATGTAAGGCGCAGTGCGGCAGCTGCTGGCTGGTTCTGGGACACGGTTTTCCATCACTGACTGGGCCCATAAACCGAAGGGAAAGGCGGCCGAAGAGGGCCTCATGTCACGGAAACAAGCGCACGATGAATTTCACTTGTTCTGCTCACAGAGCATCTAAACGTTCTCTTAGGAACTGAACCACGTCCATGACCACTCGGACGGCTGCTGCTGGGTCCAAGAGACACTCACTGAGATGGCTCAGCGCCCCAGAGCAGGAGGCAGAGCCTATGTCCACGCGCACCTCCTCAGAACAGATGAAGCTGAGAAGATAAATACACACGACTCGCTGCAGTAACAGAGCCACTGCCCTCGTTCTGGCTTCCCTCATTTCCCTAGCTGCCCACCAGCGGCTCTCGCCTCAACCCCTCGAGCTCTGGGCCGCACGGCGCGAGGACACGCGGGGTGAGGGCCTCAGTTCCCTCCCCGTGACCTCCTGGCTTCCTGGAGGGGTGGCTCCGGCCTTTCCCCTCCCCTCTGTGCATCTACGACTGTAGCTATGCTCCCATTCCTTTCCCTCCATCTTTGGGCATCGACTACAAACAGGTGTCTGCTTTGTGTTTCCTGGTTTTGTATTCTTGGGAGTTACTTACTGTCCGTTATTAAATAGCAATTCCTCTCAGTAAGGAGCTATAAGATAAACATGCCTTGCTCAACTCAAAAACAGACCCTTGAAGGACAGTTACCGGCTGGCTCCCACCTGCTATGGGCGGAAGTGTATTTCCCAAGCCCCACGTTGAGGTCCTAACCCCGGGCACCTCAGAAAGAGGCCTGGGCGCGGGGTCTTGGTGGAACCATCATGGGGAAATGAGGTCGTACCTCCTCTGACTGCTGTCCTTGGAAAGGGGGCATCTGCACACAGACATGCGCAGTGAGCGGAAGATAAGGGGTGCTCCCCCAGCCCAGCACCCCAAAGATGCCAGCACACCCCCAGAGCTAGGAAAGGCTGAGGCAGACCCACCCTCCAGCCCCGGAGGATGCAGCCCCGTCTCACCCTCATCTCTGCCGGGTGAGGCCCCAGCGCACGGCACTGTGTTCGTGGCCCAGGCAAACGACACCCCGGGGTCTCAGGTTCTGTACCCGTGAAACCTCAGCGGGAGGCGGAGTTCTGTCGAGTCCGCATTGTCACCCAGGATGGAATAGAGACACTGGCGACGAGCTCGTCACGTGGGCGGGAGGGGCACCCACCTGCACGATTCTGCTGAGGTGGCAGTCGGCGGCCAGCTCCAGCCCCTGCTTCTCCGCCCAGGCCTCCACGTGGCCCAGCTGCTGGCGGATGATGGCGCCCCAGTAGTGCGAGCACAGCCCCGACTCGGGGTCCGTGACCAGCCTGTTGAACAGCCACATGTTGATGAAGTGGAAGAGCTGGGAGAAGAGCTGGATGGTGAGGGCCGCGTTGACCCGGCAGCGCCGCAGCAGCGCCATGGCCCCCGAGAGCGTGTGCAGGACGTCGTCTGCAGAGACAGGCGAGAGAGCCCCTGGTCACTCGGGAGTCTCAAATCGGCAGTAAATTTAGTCAGAAGTCACAGCAATCACTGCCGGAGCACTTTGAAAATGCCACTTGTTCAACAGGAAGGAGAATGTGTTTTAAACACACAGAGGCATCAACTGTACTTACTCAACATTGAGTTCACCCTGAGACTTTCTGAGGACAACCAGCACGAAAAACCCAATTAGAGCTTTTCATAAACAAAACTTACTGCTGGTGGTACCGCTAGTAAAACTTACTGCTTTAACAAGAATGCCCAATCCGATAGCTTATTTTCAAAATACCTCCCTCTTACAAATATGAAATATTAAAATGAAGTTAAACAAGAGGGAGGGAGGGGGTGGGGGGAGGAGAAATGACTGTCCTGACCTATTTTTGGTCTTTGCAGACTGTTCTCCTCGGGGTCGTCCAGAAAGGCCGGCATGTAGTTATTCAATTCTGACTGCAGACAGTGGACCAGGTACCTGAAAACACGCACAGTTTTCATGATGTCAGCGTGAGGAGCTGCTGTCAGACAATGGTGCCCACGGAACAGCCTGCACTGCTCAGAAAGATTTCATTAAAAAATGTCATAGCTTCACTCTCACGATTCAAGAAACACAGCTCACCGATTCAATTTATCAAGTCAACACATTTTGCATAGTTATTTATGCTTCTTGATATTATTCAAACAGGGCAAATAAAAACCTTTGAAATTAGTTTTGAAAATTTAAGAGAACATAATATGATTTAAATCTTTCTAAAACAGTGTCGCCTCCCCACACGGGTCCCGTACTTAAAGGCCATCTGCACCAGGTGCGCCAGCACGTCCTGGGCGTCCAGGGTGATCCGGCTCAGGTCTCGGTCCTGCTTGATGAAGTTGAGGAGCTCGGACGCGTTGGCCATCCAGAAAGCAAGCGCCCCTGCGATGTTCTTCTGTTTCTGGGGGCAGAACGCATCCCGTGAGCCGTCACAGGACCAACCGAAACAGCAACCACCAGCTGCTCCTGAAAGCTGCCGAGGATAGACCAGTACCTTCCCGTTGCGCCAGCGCACTTGCCACAGATACCAGATACTTGCCGGGGAATTTGGGCCCACGCACAGCAGTGGGAAATCAGTAGCCACCGGGCTTCCTGGGCTCACGGAGACACAGGGCTCTAATTGGCTACCATGTATGAATCAATGGAGAAATGGGATCCCGAGGAGCCCAGCACCGAATCAGAGGTTGTGCATTATCTGGTAATCTGCGCGCGCACACGTATCCATGGTTACCCAGCCACCCGGATACTAGCAGTCACTGGCGTGGACGCCAAGCAACCCAGTATCAAGTACTGATCGATCGCATCCTCTCCCGACATATGTGCAGGCCAGGCAACCTCAGATGAGATCCAAAGGATAGGAACCAAGGATGAACGAGGAGAAGAGACAGACTGTTGTCATTTCATATCCACACGGAAGTGCATTAAGCAGAAGTTATGAAATGCTGGTAAGGGCTGCACAGTCCAAAGGGGTTTAGTACTGCGTGTTTCAGCTGCCGGATGAGTGTTATGGACGCTCGGTCCGGTCTGAGCACTGTGTTGACATGGAAGCAGCATGAGAAACTCAGCTAAGCCAACAGAGCCAGGCTCAGGCCCACAGGAGGTCCTACCTGTTCAACCTGGTCTACTTCCTGGAGAAAAACAGACGAGGGGGATCAAGCAGAACAAGAGAAAGAAACTTGTAAACAATCATGATAGTTTAAAAAAAATCAAAACACTAAAACGAAGGCAGGACACTGAGTTGTTCTTCCCAGGTGACCTATCCAGCCCCGCCCTGACGCAGCTCCAAGGGACGAGGCACAGAGGAGTCTGTGCTCCTGACACGGGCTAGTGACACGACGTGAACTCCCGAGTGGATCGGTGAAGTGACAGTGAGCACACGACACACACTGGTCTTAGTGACACCGTGCGCTGGGCTAAAGGCCTGTCTGTGAGGAGCCTGTTCCCGTTACTAAGGAAGAATAAGAAAGACAGGAAAGACCAACAGAAACAACACGTATAAATGCTGAAAAACTTGAGACTCTGAAAACATATAAAAACTTAAATCTAAAAAGTGAGTAAACTGGTTTTTGAACTTGGGTTTTTACAAATTAAAAATTTTAAATTACTCACTACCACAGTTTGTTTCTATAACATTAAGACTCCTCCAGCCCTAACCGGTTTGGCTCAGTGGATAGAGAGCGTCAGCCTGCGGACTGAAGGGTCCCAGGTTCGATTCTAGTCAAGGGCATGTACCTTGGTTGTGGGCACATCCCCAGTAGGAGGTGTGTAGGAGGCAGCTGATCGATGTTTCTTTCTCATCGATGTTTCTAATTCTTTATCCCTCTCCCTTCTTCTCTGTAAAAATCAATAAAATATACATATTTTTAAAAAGACTCCTCCAATCATACACTAAACCTGAATCTGAAATTAAAAGACGGGTTTCAATGCTGGTGATCCCAGTGAAGTTCAAACTCAATAAGGAAAAGTCTGTCAAAGTTGTGAAGGCAAGAATCTCATAACTTGAAACAGGATTTACAAACCCAAACGTAATGGGAGACAGACAATGGCTCTGAGGGACAGCTGGACAGGAAATCGCATTTGTCTATAAAATAACAGGAGTGACAAAATGGTGTCCCAATAAACTGACTTTCCTGTGGAATCTCTGTCCTCATTGGATAAAGGAAGAGCCCCATCCAATTCATATGCCAACCACTCAAACATAAAGAAACAATATGTCTCTTAAAACATGGGCCTCTGAGGGAATTAAAGGTGAGTCTGGCTCTGGCTGGTGTGGCCCAATGGATAGAGCCTTGGCCTGCGGATGGAAGGGTCTTGTCGTTGATTCCGGTCTGGGCACAGGCTGGGTTGCCGGCTCGATCCCCAGGAGGCAGCCGAGCCATCATTCTCTCTCATCATTGATATTTCTCTCTCTCTCTTTCTCCCTTTCTCCCTGAAATCAATAAAAAATGTATTAAAAAAAAAAGATGAGTTTGCCTCAAACCTTCCCAACAGGAGACAGACAACCTAGCCATCTGGGTGGCTATTGAATGGGACACACCTGTGCTCTAGAGCCGAGTACCCGCACTGCCACGCGACTCAGACACGTTTGCAAATCTATCCATTTACAGCGCCCATCTCCTCTGCTGAGAGCGCACCATCCCACCCAGAGGACACCTTCTCCCTGCCCCGTCAGAGCTGACTCAGAGCACCGCCTGCAGCGCGTGTCCCAGGGAGAAAGGCCAGGCTGCCACGATGCCCACAAGAGGGGCAGGAGCTCCTGGACACTGACCACAGCCTCATGGAGGCTCGGCAAGAGTGAGGGCTCCTTACATCAGTAAAGACTCGCAGGTGGGCTGCTGGGGCCAAAGGAAGGGAAACGAGACCCGCTCAGAGGGCTGGGCTGGAGTGCGGGGAATGTTTCAGACCAGGCAGAGCTGGTGGCTCACAGTGCCGGGAACGTGCTAAATGCTACTGAATTTTCTTTTTTTTTTTTTTTTTAAAAATTTTATTTTTTATTACAAAGGGTATTACATATGTGTCCATTTTTTTCCCCCCCCTAGACAGTCCCCTAGCCTCCCCTATCCCCCAGTGTCTTATGTCCATTGGTTATGCTTATATGCATGCATACAAGTCCTTTGGTTGATCTCTTACCACCCTGCCTCCTGCCCCCCAACCCTCCCCAGCCTTCCCGCTGCAGTTTGACAATCTGTTTGAGGCAGCTCTGCCTCTGTATCTACTATTGTTCAAAAGTTTATAATGGTCTCTATTATCCATGAATGAGTGAGATCATGTGGTATTTTTCCTTC